ATCCCCCCCCCCCCCCAAGTTATGTTTTGAGTAATCGCATGTATATGTAGATGAACTCTTGGTGCTGCTTTGCATAGTCTTGCCATCAAGAATGTCATGATTAGCAAGGATATTTATACTGTTGCCAATAAAATCATGTATGAAAACAGATTTGTTAAAATTTTGTGATTTTCATGTACGCTGTATAGTGATTCCCAGTCTGTCCATGCCGTTGTTGCAGTCTGACACATTTGTTTGCCCCATTTCCACCAAACTATTTTTGTTTTACTTTAAATTACATAGACTTCGGTAAAAAGACGGGTCAAGTTAAAATCAGCACAATTGAATTGAATTCAGGAATGTCACCATTTGTTTTTCTTCATTCACTATTCCGAGTTGCTCTACAAGTACCAAACTGCATTTTTCGATTAATTAAATTTTACTAGGAGGCTTTGTTTGGTGAAAAGGCAGGTTGAGCTGAAGTTTATTTTTCACTTAATCTACATGAAATGTTAAGTGTTTATATTTCCTAGCTTCTTTGCATTTATGTATGCAGTACCCAAATCGTGTAATTAGTTGTGAAAATTGATGCAGTGCTGGAAAAATAAAATCGACTAAACCTGTTTATTCAAAACAATTTTAGATGTACTGAGATCAATCTCCACCAGTTTTTTCAATGTTAAAAAGGAAAAGAGTTTCTTCTTCATTACTGTAATGTTAAATTATGAACATCACATATGACAGCCTTAATGCCTTTGCAACAAGGCCTGACATTTGAAGAAGAATTAAACTGACACTTATTTAAAAAATATATACAATCATTATTAACATTTATCGGTCAACAGTTTGATATGCCAGTTTTAGTCCCAATGTACTCGACTAATGTGTCCGTCTGGGAGAGACACAGAGGTGAAATAAGCAAGATGGCCATTAATTTCATATCACATCTTTCCATAATAACAAATCCTGTACTTCTCCGCCACCTTTGTCCAAGATCAAGTGATTCTAGCTCAACTTCCTCATCAAATCCAACCTCCAGTCTAAATCACTTTACTCCTGAGTGAAGCACAAGAGTTGCCTATCTTTCACTTACTCACATACTTAATCTCATCAAATGCTTTCCTTGCTTTTCTTAATTCTTCATTCATTGTTAATAGTTCTTTTACTCTTGAATATTTCTTTGGGTCTTTTCTAATGAGGAAAATAATGTCTTCTACAAGAATTCTTCCTGGTCTTCCACATTCCATTGCTTTCTTTGTCTGAAAAATAAAATCAATAAGAGTCCAGAACCAATTTTAAAGTCACTTTAAATAAACTGAGAGAGATCCAGTGATAATCGTAATATTTTAACGTATTCTCTTTTTATAACTAAGTGAGGTACCATCTTTTCTTAATTCCATTTGAAATAACCATTGCAATCTGCTTTTGTTTAAAAAATAACATTAAAAAGTTTTAAAGTTAAAGGTGATTGATTAAAATGCTTGTCCATTTCATTTTGTCTGTAATGGTGATCAAGTATCAAAATTTTCAAAAAAATAATTTTAAAGTTTTTAAGTCACAAGTTTAGGCTTCTACTAATCAATATTTCTGCCAAATTTGAACTATACACGTATCATAATTTTTGATAATAGAACTTTAAAGAGTCAAAAATCTGCCTTAAATGCAAAATGAATACCACAGAATGCCCCATAAAAACAGTTTAACAAGAGGGAAGATTTGATTCAAGGCACTGCTCTGGGAACTCTGATGACAAGATGCCTTGCTTCTGAAGAAACTAGAGGAAACTGAAGTTCAAAAATAAGTGGATATTGGTTTGCTGTCTTACCATCTCTGTGATGTAGTCTATCACCAAATCTTCCAGCAAGTCAACAGATTCTTGATAAGGATTTTGGTCATCTCCAAACCCATACATCATGCACCGTACTGAAATATATAATGTATATTTTCTTGGCAGTGAACTAATAAACAAAGAATTCATTCTTATTCATTATGTGACATAAAACTAGAAAATTATCAACACTTCACCTTTAAACCAAAAAAAGAACTTGAGGAACTGACATTTTTAGTTGCTTACTAGTAATGTGTGTTTAGTTACCAAAGGAAAACGCTTTCACAGCTGACAAACAATTGACATACATTCTGCTTTCTGATCAATTTGCCCTCACATAATGGAAGGACAACACCATCCTCTACTCAGGCCATTTAAGCCTCTGATTGATCCAAATCACCCAAGCAATATCTACTATAATCACTACACTCACATTCTTTTGAAAATATCTTCTTTCTTTTTTCTATTTCCATTGGCCCATCCTCTTCCTCTTCTTCCTCCAACTAAAATAAGATGAAATTACATGTATGTTGCTACTGCTGTGCAGATTAAGCAAACTAAACGCGATATGTTAAATTTGTTAAATTAAGTAAGGGATAGTGTGATCTTCTATGGATCTATTTCAAATCGCTGGAAACTGGAAAAGTCCCTCTGTGCTTTAAGGCAGTGATAAGACCACTGATAAAGAAGGCAGACCTTAATTCTAATGTCCTAAAAAACTATCGACCAATCTCGAATCTGTCATTTCTTTCCAAACTCCTGGAACGTATTGTTGCAAGCCAATTAAATGACTATTTGAGCAGTTTTTCCTTATATGGGCATTTTTACAATCCTGGGCACTTTTCAGATTTTCCCACATATTGCTAATTAACAAATTACATACATATGATCAAAGAATTCTTTTAGCACTATGTTAGAGAATGGTGAAAGTGAAGATAAACACTGAAAACAGAAACCAAATATCACCACCGAGTCCAAAGTTATGCTAAAGCAAAGCCCGAAAAATGACCAAAAATTTTTCCCGTTTTAGTCATATGAAATAAAAAGCAATCTGAAATAAATTAAAACAGTGTTTGACATTGCATTTTTTTGGATTATAAAACACTCAGTAGTATGGTGGAATCAAAAAAGTTTAAATATTAACAGGAGAGAGGTGTATCCTAGTAAAAAAAGCCTTTTAATGGCATGCTGTTATTTCCGTTAAACGAAATGTCCATTCCGAAACAAAAATAAATGACTTTCAGAAAATATATCGTAAAACATACAGTATAATTTACCATCCTAATCATTATTTGGATGTATTGGTATTGTTTGTATCAAATAATGAAATCTGCGCGATGATTCTGGAGCTTGACATGGAGTGCAAAATAACCCTACCGCGTTTTTCCGTTAAATTTGTCCATTCCGAAACATTGGGTTTCTCTTACATAAAAAGAACATGTTGACACCTAGCCAGTAACAATATATATTTCTCTAAAGCCCAGGACATGTGATATTTATTTTTATATAAGAAAACCCTAGTGCACAGAAACCCATTTAACTGTGGCCTTTTTTGAGATGCTTGTTAAAAATTGTCCATTCCGAAACAAAGTACCTTTACATTGCCAATGTTATAAATAGAAAGAATTATGTCTTTANGTAGACTTCGGTAAAAAGACAGGTCAAGTTAAAATCAGCACAATTGAATTGAATTCAGGAATGTCACCATTTGTTTTTCTTCATTCACTATTCCGAGTTGCTCTACAAGTACCAAACTGCATTTTTCGGTTAATTAAATTTTACTAGGAGGCTTTGTTTGGTGAAAAGGCAGGTTGAGCTGAAGTTTATTTTTCACTTAATCTACATGAAATGTTAGGTGTTTATATTTCCTAGCTTCTTACTATTCATTGCTTCTTTGCATTTATGTATGCAGTACCCAAATCGTGTAATTAGTTGGTAAAAATTGATGTAGTGCTGGAAAAATAAAATCGACTAAACCTGTTTATTCAAAACAATTTTAGATGTACTGAGATCAATCTCCACCAGTTTTTTCAATGTTAAAAAGGAAAAGAGTTTCTTCTTCATTACTGTAATGTTAAATTATGAACATCACACACTGACAGCCTTAATGCCTTTGCAACAAGGCCTGACATTTGAAGAAGAATTAAACTGACACTTATTTAAAAAATATATACAAACATTATTAATATTTATCGGTCAACAGTTTGATATGCCAGTTTTAGTCCCAATATACTCGACTAATGTGTCTGTCTGGTAGAGACACAGAGGTGAAATAAGCAAGATGGCCATTAATTTCATATCACATCTTTCCATAATAACAAATCCTGTACTTCTCCGCCACCTTTGTCCAAGATCAAGTGATTCTAGCTCAACTTCCTCATCAAATCCAACCTCCAGTCAAAATCACTTTACTCCTGAGTGAAGCACAAGAGTTGCCTATCTTTCACTTACTCACATACTTAATCTCATCAAATGCTTTCCTTGCTTTTCTTAATTCTTCATTCATTGTTAATAGTTCTTTTACTCTTGAATATTTCTTTGGGTCTTTTCTAATGAGGAAAATAATGTCTTCTACAAGAATTCTTCCTGGTCTTCCACATTCCATTGCTTTCTTTGTCTGAAAAATAAAATCAATAAGAGTCCAGAACCAATTTTAAAGTCACTTTAAATAAACTGAGAGAGATCCAATGATAATCGTAATATTTTAACGTATTCTCTTTTTATAACTAAGTGAGGTACCATCTTATCTTAATTCCATTTGATATAACCATTGCAATCTGCTTTTGTTTAAAAAATAACATTAAAAAGTTTTAAAGTTATAGGTGATTGATTAAAATGCTTGTCCATTTCATTTTGTCTGTAATGGTGATCAAGTATCAAAATTTTCAAAAAAATAATTTTAAAGTTTTTAAGTCACAAGTTTAGGCTTCTACTAATCAATATTTCTGCCAAATTTGAACTATACACGTATCATAATTTTTGATAATAGAACTTTAAAGAGTCAAAAATCTGCCTTAAATGCAAAATGAATACCACAGAATGCCCCATAAAAACAGTTTAACAAGAGGGAAGATTTGATTCAAGGCACTGCTCTGGGAACTCTGATGACAAGATGCCTTGCTTCTGAAGAAACTAGAGGAAACTGAAGTTCAAAAATAAGTGGATATTGGTTTGCTGTCTTACCATCTCTGTGATGTAGTCTATCACCAAATCTTCCAGCAAGTCAACAGATTCTTGATAAGGATTTTGGTCATCTCCAAACCCATACATCATGCACCGTACTGAAATATATAATGTATATTTTCTTGGCAGTGAACTAATAAACAAAGAATTCATTCTTATTCATTATGTGACATAAAACTAGAAAATTATCAACACTTCACCTTTAAACCAAAAAAAGAACTTGAGGAACTGACATTTTTAGTTGCTTACTAGTATTGTGTGTTTAGTTACCAAAGGAAAACGCTTTCACAGCTGACAAACAATTGACATACATTCTGCTTTCTGATCAATTTGCCCTCACATAATGGAAGGACAACACCATCCTCTACTCAGGCCATTTAAGCCTCTGATTGATCCAAATCACCCAAGCAATATCTACTATAATCACTACACTCACATTCTTTTGAAAATATCTTCTTTCTTTTTTCTATTTCCATTGGCCCATCCTCTTCCTCTTCTTCCTCCAACTAAAATAAAATGAAATTACATGTATGTTGCTACTGCTGTGCAGATTAAGCAAACTAAACGCGATATGTTAAATTTGTTAAACTAAGTAAGGGATAGTGTGATCTTCTATGGATCTATTTCAAATCGCTGGAAACTGGAAAAGTCCCTCTGTGCTTTAAGGCAGTGATAAGACCACTGATAAAGAAGGCAGACCTTAATTCTAATGTCCTTAAAAACTATCGACCAATCTCAAATCTGTCATTTCTTTCCAAACTCCTGGAACGTATTGTTGCAAGCCAATTAAATGACTATTTGAGCAGTTTTTCCTTATATGCAAAATACCAGTCTGCATATAGACCAAACCACAGTACAGAAACAGCCCTTCTTAAGGTGCAGAATGACATTCTCCAAGCCCTGAACGATCAGAAACATGTGATATTGATTCTTCTTGATCTATCAGCAGCTTTCGATACTCTCGATCACGACATATTGCTCCAACGACTTGCACATCGGTTTGGGATAACTGGGACAGTTCTCTCCTGGTTTCGGTCTTATCTAACTGGACGCGAGCAACATGTACGCTTAGGCTCTTCTATTTCAAAATTAAGCAAATTACTTTATGGTGTGCCACACTCTACACCTCACCAATTGAGGATACAGTTGCTCAGTTTGGTTTCAATTTGATGTTGTATGCAGATGATCCCCAGATATATGTTATATGTGAAAATCCTTGTGATGAAAAAGCAACTATTGAGGCTTGTGTGAATGAACTTAGATCTTGGCTCAAGTCCAACTACTTAGTTTTTAATGATGAAAAAACTGAATTAGTCCATTTCAACTCGTAAGTTTTCCAAAGACAATACTGCACTTGATAGTATTAGAGTTGGGGATTCTTTTATAAAACCAACAACAGAAGTAAGGAACTTGGGTGTTATTTTTAATAACAAATGTGAAATGACATCACACATTAACAAAGTATGTAAAACAGCATATTTTAGTCTCCAACGGATATCCAAGATCTTTCACCTTATTAACACCAAGCAAACTGAATTACTCATCCATGCATTTGTAACCTCTAGACTGGATTATTGCAATAGCCTATTGTTTGGAATACCTCACTATCAAATGGAAAAGCTACAATCAATTCAGAACTCTGCTGCTCGTCTCCTCTGTAAAGCTCAGAAGTCCAACCACATCACACCAATTCTGCGAAAACCTCCACTGGCTACCTGTGTCTCAACAAATAGTTTTTAAAATATTACTTTTGACTTTTAAGATTTTAAAGGGCGACCGTCCATTTTACTTAAATTCTACCATAGAACTTTTAACTCCTATCAGATCACTTCGATCTAGTGGACAACTTCAACTTAAGCGAAAAGACACCAAATGACTCTTAAAACATATGGACAAAGAAGTTTCGAGATTTGTGCACCGATTTTATGGTCTAATTTTATCACAAGATCTAATGTATCTCTGGATGACTCATATTACTGTTTTAAGAAGAATTTAAAAACTGTTTAAAGAATACTTTAATTTATAGCATCTTTTTAGTTTTTAAAATTTTTAAGTATTCTGTTTTTAGTCTATACTGGCTTTAATTTATCTGTGGAGTTTTTTTATTTTTTATGTTAACAGCGCTGAGACGCATGTGTAGCACGGTTTTAAAGAAGTGCTTTTTATTATTATTTAGTACTCTCACCCCCCCCCCTCTCACCAGGGTCACTATTTTTTGAATGTCGAGTAGAAGACAACATAAACATTCTCACCTGATCTTTTGAAGTGTCTGCCTCTGCCATTTTTATCCTCATATACTTTACTTAATAAAACTAAGGCTACTTTCACTACTATGTACCAAACTATACACTTAAATCTGTTTAAATTTGCACCACAATATCACAAAGTTTGTAGTCAAAGGAAAACAGGAGCAATCCTCGTTCTCGCACACACTCTCGCACCAAACATTTGCTGCGGGACTACGCTTACATAAAACGTGATATTTCAATGCGTCTGCTAGCGACCCACAAACTGACCTTTTGCTACCAAATAAGATAAGGATAACTGAATACACATGGGGAATTCATCTAGTCAGTCAACAGAGAAGGCAAGAGCAGGGCCATTAAGCGCGTCAGTTATGTCTGAGAAGGCTGATGAAATCAAGAGAGATGAACAAGGCAGACCCTTGGATAAGGATGGAAATCCATTAAAACCTTGCTGTGCCTGCCCTGAAACTAAGAAAGTTAGAGATGAATGGTAAACTATATTGATATTCTTAATTTATGAAATGACACTTAGTTTTTTGCAAAGTAACACAGGTAACACCACGTGTTTGTGCATGTGAACCCAGTAAAGTGAAGGCTTAGCAATAACAGACTTGTTATGAGTTTCATGTACTGCCTACTGGTATATAAAGTAATGGTCAAAGCAAACGTTACCTATCAATGCTGTATTTTAATAGCTTATGCAATTATCAAGTAAGGGTCCATTTCCATTGAAACTATTGGTCTACATAGGTCATTCTTGCTGAATGGAGTTTAACAGATTAACACGTCTCCTCCAGGCGTGGAATGGATAACACAAATAAAAGAATGTTAGAAACAAGAGGAAGAGTATTAATCTGTTAAACTGATTGCATTCACTGAGAGTCTCTGTGGAGTTGGATTGATCTACATAGACTGATAGTTTGTATGGGCATGTGTCCAAACATCCTATGTAGGCTATTTTTGGCAGGTTTAAGAAATACTGAGTAAGTTGTGATAAAAATTACTTACACAATCTTATTTAATCTAACTATTTTAATAGAAGTTTTTAGTTAGAGTGGATGTACCATACATGGAACATTGCCCCTGTTTTTTCTTGGTGTTGACTGAGGGCAGTTATAATTTTTGACACTTTTCTGGGTGAATTTTTCTTGTTTTGTTAACCGTATCTATCCAGTGTCTCCAGTATTAAATAATTCTTTCACCATGTTTGACACTCAGAATAACAGTATGTACAACTTCATTAATATTTGGCAGGTTCCAATTTTCTTTCTAACAAATGTTAAGTTCTCATACAGTAGTCTGTTCAGGTAAAGCACTTTGTCTCTGTTTCTTATTTTTCTTTTTAGTTACACCTTTCAAAAAGAGAAGCATACCTTGGTTTTATCCTATTCAGTTTTGTTCACTTCTTCATAATTTTTTGCTTTTCCTGTTTTCTCCTTTAATTATTTATTCTGGATAACCATAGTTTCTACATGCCTCCCTGATCTTGTCCTTCCCTAGCTCGATCTTGTCTTGGTCTCTAGTCAGTGTGTCTGACCTGTGGATAAGTCATGGCTACCAGTATGAGCTGAGTCTGCCTCCTCTCATCACATCATATTCTCACCATTTCTTTTTTTAGTATACTTCACAATGGCGAAGAAAATTGTAAAGAACTTATAGAGGCACATAAGGAATGCCTTCGAAAGTTGGGATTTAACATTTGATACAGTTACAGCAAACTTTGAAGCAGTAGCAGCATTGTATGTATTCTATTTGCTTATTTAGATGAATTCATAAAAACAGCTATAAGCTGTCTTAATAGTATAAGTTTGAAAATACTCATGCCAAGAAATCAGTTTATGCAGAATGATAAATAGTAACTGTGAGAAAACTGGACTTTATTCTTCATTTTATTTGAAGTTTATTATTGAGAACTAGGGTAGCCATTTGATATTGATTATATAGTTATAAACTTAATGTTTGTTTGTTCTTTTTTTCAGTCAGTAAGGATCTCTGTACATGTCTCACCAAAAAATGGCTATTTATAATAAGGATCAACAGAAGAACATTTCAATTTAATCATTGAAAAAATGGAATATATTAATGTTAATGGCTCTATTTATTATGTTGAAACATTCAGGAGGGACATTTTTACTTTTTTAGGGGGGTGTCTCTTTCTGTGAAAATAAAGAGTTGGAGAGTTTTTATCAATTTTACATAAACTGAATAGTAGGAATTCGGTGAGACAGCATGGCTTCCCTTTTTAAATAGCATTTTCTGTTCCCATCACACCACATTATACCTTAAAATATGTGCATGGTTAAAGATTGTTGACTGCTGAGTTAAAGTTGCAATATGACACATGGTGGAAAGTTTGTTGTAGTGTTTTATTATTGAATCATTCAGGAAATTTATTAATGCTCTATGTATTAAATTTTGTGATATGTGAAGTATACACAGAAGAGTAAACAAGTTTATGCATATATGGAAATTGTTGTTCTGTTTTTAATAATTAAATGAAAAGATTTTAATGGGTTAAAACCTATCTTAGACATATATGGATAAGCATAAATCGGGATAAAATAAAGGAAATATAAACTCCTCATATTTTATTCTGACATATTGCTACTGAGAAAACATCATGCTTTGTCATTGTGACTTTGCATTTTTTGGCAAATGGATTGAATTTAAGTTCTGTAACTACCAAAACAATGTACAAGCTTAATTGCCATTCGAATTTAGCATTTGTTCGCAATAAAACTTGCATAACTAAAATTGTCAATACCATTAGCCCAAAATGCAGTGGTGTGTATTTTTTTTTTTTTGGGGGGGGGGGTNGCATCTTTTTAGTTTTTAAAATTTTTAAGTATATTCTGTTTTTAGTCTATACTGGCTTTAATTTATCTGTGGAGTTTTTTTATTTTTTATGTTAACAGCGCTGAGACGCATGTGTAGCACGGTTTTAAAGAAGTGTTTTTTTTATTATTATTTAGTACTCTCACACCCCCCCCCCCTCTCACCAGGGTCACAATTTATATTTTGAATGTCGAGTAGAAGACAACATAAACATTCTCACCTGTTCTTTTGAAGTGTCTGCCTCTGCCATTTTTATCCTCATATACTTTACTTAATAAAACTATGGCTACTTTCACTACTATGTACCAAACTATACACTTAAATCTGTTTAAATTTGCACCACAATATATCACAAAGTTTGTAGTCAAAGGAAAACAGGAGCAATCCTCGTTCTCGCACACACTCTCGCACCAAACATTTGCTGCGGGACTACGCTTACATAAAACGTGATATTTCAATGCGTCTGCTAGCGACCCACAAACTGACCTTTTGCTACCAAATAAGATAAGGATAACTGAATACACATGGGGAATTCATCTAGTCAGTCAACAGAGAAGGCAAGAGCAGGGCCATTAAGCGCGTCAGTTATGTCTGAGAAGGCTGATGAAATCAAGAGAGATGAACAAGGCAGACCCTTGGATAAGGATGGAAATCCATTAAAACCTTGCTGTGCCTGCCCTGAAACTAAGAAAGTTAGAGATGAATGGTAAACTATATTGATATTCTTAATTTATGAAATGACACTTAGTTTTTTGCAAAGTAACACAGGTAACACCACGTGTTTGTGCATGTGAACCCAGTAAAGTGAAGGCTTAGCAATATCAGACTTGTTATGAGTTTCATGTACTGCCTACTGGTATATAAAGTAATGATCAAAGCAAACGTTACCTATCAATGCTGTATTTTAATAGCTTATGCAATTATCGAGTAAGGGTCCATTTCCATTGAAACTATTGGTCTACGTAGGTCATTCTTGCTGAATGGAGTTTAACAGATTAACACGTCTCCTCCAGGCGTGGAATGGATAACACAAATAAAAGAATGTTAGAAACAAGAGGAAGAGTATTAATCTGTTAAACTGATTGCATTCACTGAGAGTCTCTGCGGAGTTGGATCAATTTACGTAGACTGATAGTTTGTATGGGCATGAGCCCAAACATCCTATGTAGGCTATTTTTGGCAGGTTTAAGAAATAAGTTGTGATAAAAATTACTTATCTTATTTAATCTATTTTAATAGAAGTTTTTAGTTAGAGTGGATGTACCATACATGGAACATTGCCCCTGTTTTTTCTTGATGTTGACTGAGGGCAGTTATAATTTTCGACACTTTTCTGGGTGAATTTTTCATGTTTTGTTAACCGTATCTATCCAGTGTCTCCAGTATTAAATAATTCTTTCGCCATGTTTGACACTCAGAATAACAGTATATATATCCCACTTCATTATTATTTGGCAGGTTCCAATTTTTTTTCTAACAAATGTTAAGTTCTCATACAGTAGTCTGTTCAGGTGAAGCACTTTGTCTCTGTTTCTTATTTTTCTTTTTAGTTACACCTTTCAAAAAGAGAAGCATACCTTGGTTTTATCCTATTCAGTTTTGTTCACTTCTTCATAATTTTTTGCTTTTCCTGTTTTCTCCTTTAATTATTTATTCTGGATAACCATAGTTTCTACATGCCTCCCTGATCTTGTCCTTCCCTAGCTCGATCTTGTCTTGGTTTCTAGTCAGTGTGTCTGACCTGTGGATAAGTCATGGCTACCAGTATGAGCTGAGTCTGCCTCCTCTCTTAAGCTGATTCTATTGTAGTTGTACTTTTTTTTACCCTTGTGCTCTTATCACATCATATTCTCACCATTTCTTTTTTTAGTATACTTCACAATGGCGAAGAAAATTGTAAAGAACTTATAGAGGCACATAAGGAATGCCTTCGAAAGTTGGGATTTAACATTTGATACAGTTACAGCAAACTTTGAAGCAGTAGCAGCATTGTATGTATTCTATTTGCTTATTTAGATGAATTCATAAAAACAGCTATAAGCTGTCTTAATAGTATAAGTTTGAAAATACTCATGCCAAGAAATCAGTTTATGCAGAATGATAAATAGTAACTGTGAGAAAACTGGACTTTATTCTTCATTTTATTTGAAGTTTATTATTGAGAACTAGGGTAGCCATTTGATATTGATTATATAGTTATAAACTTAATGTTTGTTTGTTCTTTTTTTCAGTCAGTAAGGATCTCTGTACATGTGTCACCAAAAAATGGCTATTTATAATAAGGATCAACAGAAGAACATTTCAATTTAATCATTGAAAAAATGGAATATATTAATGTTAATGGCTCTATTTATTATGTTGAAACATTCAGGAGGGACATTTTTACTTTTTTAGGGGGGTGTCTCTTTCTGTGAAAATAAAGAGTTGGAGAGTTTTTATCAATTTTACATAAACTGAATAGTAGGAATTCAGGGAGACAGCATGGCTTCCCTTTTTAAATAGCATTTTCTGTTCCCATCACACCACATTATATCTTAAAATATGTGCATGGTTAAAGATTGTTGACTGCTGAGTTAAAGTTGCAATATGACACATGGTGGAAAGTTTGTTGTAGTGTTTTATTATTGAATCATTCAGGAAATTTATTAATGCTCTATGTATTAAATTTTGTGATATGTGAAGTATACACAGAAGAGTAAACAAGTTTATGCATATATGGAAATTGTTGTTCTGTTTTTAATAATTAAATGAAAAGATTTTAATGGGTTAAAACCTATCTTAGACATATATGGATAAGCATAAATCAGGATAAATTAAAGAAGGAAATATAAACTCCTATTTTATTCTGACATATTGCTACTGAGAAAACATCATGCTTTGTCATTGTGACTTTGCATTTTTTGGCAAATGGATTGAATTTAAGTTCTATAACTACCAAAACATTGTACAAGCTTAATTGCCATTCGAATTTAGCATTTGTTCGCAATAAAACTTGCATAACTAAAATTGTCAATACCATTAGCCCAAAATGCAGTGGTGTGTATTTTTTTTTTTTGGGGGGGGGGGTTTAAACTACTAATTACTTAATGAATTTAATGAATATACAAATCATAAGATGCGTCTTAATGAACAACATATTACTCGAGTTTTAAAAATGCATTTTATACAGTTTTACTTGATGCAGTTGCATAGTAATTTTTTGTGAACTGCAAAACCATGTCAAACTATTTACTACACTCTCATGCTTTCATATATATTTTGCAGTTGTTTTGATAGTGAACATGTGTTTGGGTGTGCTTGAATAATGGTTTTAATCTGTTTTGCAGACAGCAGAAATGAATTAGATCCAAGTGTTTTTATACTTGATACAAAGAGATCATATGGAAATATAAAATGACAAAAAATAAATAAATAAATAAATAAATAAATAAATCTTGGGTCAACTTGCTTCAGGCACAGATAAAAGTAAAATGCTGTCATCATTGCAGTCAACTCGGACTGAATTTTATTAACAATATTTGTCTAAATATATTTATCTTTTAAAAGTTGGAATATTGGCAATTTAATTAGGCATCAAACATTTAAGTTAGTGCCAAATCATAAGTAATTATTTGCCTTTGGTACAAGTATGTAGCACATGGTATTGCCATTTTGCCTTTGTGAATACAGTTATAAGCATTCGGTTGAATGGCATAAGAACAAACATACCCAAAGTATGGTGTATTTTAACGTTATAAGCTATTAATATTTTCAGAACATGCATTCAGCTTCACAGTATGATTTTGAAGAAAAATATTGAGCATGTGTTGACCATAGTTCATTTTATAAACATGATATATTTAATCTTTGTTAATAGTTTTATTATAATAAAAGGTACATTTCAAACATCATAATGCATATTTACAAAACATTTATTTTTTATGCTCAGATTAAACTCAATTTAGGAGTACTTAGGCCAAATTTAGCCTATTGGTAGAGTTAAAAATATTGCCATGATTAGTTCTGGCACAAACAACTTACAAGATACATTAACAGCTCTATTTACAATATCTGAAGCAATGTAATTGTAGTCTATAAATCAAATGTTAGTGTAGTAGTGTCTTGTACAGAATTGCTTGAAGGCTCAATGGAGAAGAGCTTTTCTGATCAAGTCCTTCTTTTCAGGTGTCAGTTGCCTGGGAAATTCTATATTGAATTCTATGATCAAGTCTCCTTTTTGGCTTGGGTCTTTAGAAATGGGCATCCCTTCTGTTGGAACTCTTTTTGTATACCCAGGACTGAAGAAAAAAAGAAAATTATTTCAAACTTAACATTTGTTCTCATTCATGGTCAATATAAATAAATTCATGTGGAAAAAGCATAATACTATTACCTGTAAAATGTGCATTAAAAGGGTATTTTTTAATCTAGGCTCAAATATAAAGACAATAATAAGAATCAAATGGCTTCTCCGATTATTGCCTTTTCTTTAAAAAAAGATGTGCTTTCAACACTAAAACAAAAAACCTACTGGACAATATCATTGATTGGGATGTTAAGTATCCTTTCATCTAGTGTGGTGACTTCCACTGTACATCCTGTCAAAGCTTGGCCAAGGGGAATCTTTGCAGTGTAAATAAGATCAGTGCCAGACCTGCGGAATCTTGGATGAGGTTTGTCTTTTACAATGAAGACAATGTCAGCTGAAATAAATACAGGTGCACAGTTAACTCTATAGGCTATGTGATTTGTTTTTCAATATATCTTTATTCGTGTATTTCAGTACTCACAGGTATATAAGTTAAACTGTAATATGGGTCTGAGGCCCTTCATTATGGAATGAAAGAATTAATGCCTAAATCATAATCACAGAAAACATTATCAATTATAATTTGTTCGTGTCCTTACTCTCCACATGTAAAATCACCCAGGATGAATGTAAATGCAGACTGAACAACTAATCTTAAGACTTCTGGCAAAAAAAGTGAAAATCAAAAAAAAAAAAAAAAAAAAAGAAGAAACAACACTCATTTATTCACCTGGTACATTATTTGGTCCTTGGTCTCCTTCCTCTTGGAATGTTATCTTTGTTCCTGGTAGCCAGCCCTTCTTAACTGTGATGGTCAATATTTTATCTCTGATACTAGAAGTGTGACCATCTTCATTCATCACCTTTAGAAAAGCAAACGATTTTTTATAAAAAATTATTTTACACAAAGTTTAAAATTTAATATTCTGGGCAATAAAGATACTAAAAATAACATTAACCATATGAAAAAACCATGAAATGGAAAACCTACTCTTCTAGATATCTTCATCTTCTTAGTGCAACCATGGAATGTTTCTTCCAAGGATAAAGCAAGGTCTCTTTCAATTGGAGGATCCTTTTTCTTGGCACCTCTGCCATGAAGTCCACCAAAGCCCATAACCATGTCTCCATCTACACGATCATAAAACTCTGAAAAAGAAAATTGGACGTACATAGCAGGTCGTTAAGTGCTTGGTAATGCAGCTTTTCATTAAAGTTAATATTCAATGATTTAAAAAAAATATAGAAAAAAATGCACCCTATAATTAAATAAAAAAGGTTCATTGTACTCTTTGCAAACTTTTTTTAGGATGTATTCAATGTTTGTATAAAAAGATATAGTGTTTAAAGGAAGTAAGATTTCATCTATTAAAATTATTTGAAATATCTCTAAAAAGAAAAAAAATGAGTTTAGATACCATGAACATTTTTGTTTAAAAAACTTGAAATTCATACACAGGCACAACTCATTGAAAAGTGCAGTATAAAAATATTTTCTTGTTAAGTCCTCCCTCTGGATAGGACATGGCCATGATGATTCAAGAGGTCTTTTTCATTGATACAGGTCCTTATTGATACATGGTTCAATCTGTGATTTAGTAATTTTGTCATTAAATTTTGTATTTTTCACTTAACAACACAATGATGTACCTACCTTGAAAGGGATTATCCCCACCAAAGAAGTCTCTGAAGACTTTGTCTGGATTGCCATGGAAGGTGTACCCTTGTGTCCATGCTCCAGACTCTCCACTGCCTTGTGGAACTCCACCTTTCAGGCCCTCCTCACCAAACTGATCATAAGTTGCCCTCTTTCTTGCTGAAAACATGTGAATGCACATGGACATTTACATGCAAATTACGGATTATATAAATAATTGTCTGAAAGACAGTGGTGGCAACTCATTTTAGCAATATAGTACTTACATCAAAATGGATTTGGATCAAAATTTTACTTATTTTTTCCTCATTACAAACACTGTATTTCTAGATCAATATATTTTTTGTCGGTTGCCATTTTTACCATTATGGATTCTGTGCCTGTTTCTAAATTTCTTAACAACCATTTTTTTCACAAATGTCTCTGTCTTTTTGACTAGTGGTAAACTTATTTTGGTAAAAATAATGTCTAGTCAAAAAGACTTACGATCAGATAACACATCATAAGCTTCTGCAATGTGCTTGAATTTTTCTGCAGCCACTTGATCACCAAAGTTTTTCTCTGGGTGGTATCTCAGTGCTAATTTCCGGTAGCTGAAGTTAATATAATTATAAGTAATAAATATTTATGTATTGATTGAGCAAAATATTTTTGTGCAATGATGAAATTTTGAAATCAAATTAATTTAAACTAATTGTAAATGTGTTTCATAAACTATCGTCTTCACATTTTTTAAACTGTAAATATGGATAAACAAGAAGTTATAACTTCTTGGGATAAATTAGTTACTAAAATCTCTTTAAAATTATAGTACACATTGCTTTTACATGGTAAACAGCAATTGTAAAAAAGTTTTAGCAGTTATAAGTGTATCTGTGATCCGCGCTTTGGTATATACATTCATTAAGAGCCCGTCTAAACAATCATAAGTTTCTAACTTAATTTACTAACCACGTGTCAAAAAGACAGTTTTTACTGAGATACTTACGCCTTCTTTATATCAGCATCTGCAGCACTCCGAGAGAGGCCCAAGACGCTATAGTAATCTTGACCCATAGAGAAAAATTGTGGTGACAGACTTCAGTAAGATCTCCTTGTGTTTACGTTTACATGTGGCCTGTGTATTTACTTCCAATATGGCGGAAAACTTAGCAACCGAAAACCAAGGCTTCAATACGAAATCAATTTTCATTGGACAATCAAATAAACTATGACAATGGCCGTGAAACCATATTATCCAATCAAAGCTCATCTCACAGAAGTTATTTTTTAAAAGCTAAACGTAAATTCTTGAAAAAAATTATTACTAAATTTTGCTCAATTACACCTAAAATAAATATCAATTTATATAGTTTACTTTATATTTATAAATTTAAAATGTGTGGTATATATTTAATTCTGCATTTTACATCTTAAAGGCAATCCATACTACCTACACTTTTACGAATCTAATTGCAAAACAGATATCAGCTTTGATTACAACCAAAACCTTTCAAAATGGGATTGTAGTGGATGTTATTTACTTTGATAATATGCAATTTAGATTCAAAGTAAGATGGTAATGTAAATTATTCCACTTTCCAACACAAGCAATGGCAATGGAGAATGATATAAACGGGGTTAGAATCAACCCGCCTGTTGTGGAGTTTTATGACAGCGAACCGAATCAAACGTACCGCGTCACTGTGTCGGTGAAAAATGTCAGCAAAACCAGCAAAACTCTCCGTTTCTACGGACCAAACTCTAAGGTAAAGTGACACGTGCGAAAACTAAGTCAGTTATATAGACCTAAGAAGTAGAGGTAGTTAAAATTTGTTTAAATTGCAAGCAAAATATCTGTGTATTGACAAGTTATTTGAGTATTTAAAAATGGTTTGAATCAACAACTATATCCTAAGAAAATCATTCGATAAAATGAATATTTAACAACTGTCAAGGAAAAAGAAATATCAGCTGGGCGGACTAAACGTAGACTATGCAAAAATGCTTAACAATTTTTGTTATGTTCACCCCTGCAGTGACCTCATCTCTCAAAATTTTCTTGTGAAAAAAAAAACAGTTTTAATTGACAGCCTACTGTAATTGATTAGATGATTATTCTTTTATAATATGAATAACAGAGACATTGATTAAAACAATCACATAACTGAATTTAGAAAAAACATGATGTACCCTAAACTTAGCATGCTTAGAAGGTTTAAACAATGAATTGGAGTCATTAAAAAAAGACTAAAGCTAATCCTATGATTGAAACAATTAATCTATATTTAGTGAAAGGGAAACAAATGACAATGAAGAAACACTTCCAATGCTTCTGTTCAATTAAATCAAATAGAATTAACTGAAATTCATACGTAGTGTGGAGATTGGCACGCAACCAACTTAATGAATATATAGATAGTTTTGATAGATCGAAACATTTGATAACATATTTTATTGTTGTTTTTTAGGTTTTTAGGATGAAGGCCAAAAATCCGGAAAAACCGATTGCTCCAGGACTTGAGGTGCAAGCAATAATAGAATTTGACCCCACAGAAGAAAAGGATTATAAGGATCGAATGCTTCTTGCTGTAGATGGGGAAGGTGTTGAAATCCCATTGGTTGGGTAGGTGTATTTCTTCACACATAGCTAAATGTGTATACTTTGGTATACAGTTTGCAAATTTACAAAGTTCATGAGACTACCAGTAGAATTTGACTTATCATGCAGGTTGTGTGTGGAAATAATTTGGTTTGAACAGGAATATGTCTGTAGTGAACAGGAGTCCTATGCACTGTTTGAAATACTTTATTTTTCATATCCCTACATATGATTTTGTTTTGATATAGCATACCATCCAAGCCAATGCTGCAACTAGAAGGACCTGTAGACTTTGGCAATGTGGTTGCCAGCAGTAAAGTGATAGCCAAAGAAATATCATTGTTCAATCATGGGACCAAATGTGGGGAATTCAAAATCAAGTATGCTGGAGAGAAACCAATTTCCATTATACCAAGCAGTGGGACTGTACCTCCAAGAAGTGCACAGAGCATTAAGGTAACAAACAAGTAATATGAGCAAACTAAACCATTTTCATGTAAGTTGTAGTTCAAAGAATATTCCCATCTTGCTATAGAAGATAACATTGATAAAAGAGAAAAACTTAAGAACATTATCAAGATATTTGTTGATTTAATTTCAGATTGAATATGTCACCAAGCAGTCAGGTAGCTTCCAAGAAGAGGCAAAGTGAGTTTCTATAAAAAATAAGAATTGAATAGTAAATATGAGAGAGCAATAATTAAATAAAGTTAAATTCCTAGAAGTGGTTGGGGAAAAGCACTACAGTAACTACATACCAAAGAAGATGATAAATATATAAATATCCTTGCATACAAGGGATTACAATCATTACAATAGCATATTTCTTATATTATTCAATTTAAATTACAGTGATATCAGTCAGTTTCATTGTGCATCATATTCTTTTAACAGAGTCAAACTTGAGGGTCAAGAGAGCACCCATTTGGTTATCCAAGGCAATGTGGTTGAGGGTGTTCTTGAGTTGGTCTCTACCACAAATGAAGCTCCAGTGGAGTGTGTCAAGTTTGGCCCCACCTATTATGGCACTGACAAAACTGAGAGTGCTTTTCTTATCAACAATGGTCCTGAGCCTGTTAAGTTTGTGGCAGTTTTAGATGAAGATGCAGTGGGACAAGAAACAGTAAGTAAATTATGGATGATATAATTACTATAAAACTGAATAATGAATTTTGTCCCATTTCAATTTAACATTATTTTCCTTTTGCAATATGTATATTTTATGTAGCTGGACTTTTTACAGTTGAATGGCAGATATGCTCCAGTGAATACTTACTTTTTTATAATGTTATACATTCAAATCTAGGATAATGAAAATGTTCAGGTTCTTGTAATACCAGTACATCATATACATGAAAACAACACTCATATTTTCCATCAGCTGCTCTATGACTACAACATCTGTAAAATTTACATTTTACTAGGGTGTAGACTTATCTAAGAGCACAGTGGCATCACTTGCAAGCAATCATGACCCAACAGAAACTCCATGTGGTTATATTAACCCACTTACTTCCTTGGTGACTGCCATTCCTACTCAAGGAATGCTAGGACCATATGAGAAGATACCCATTTTCTTTAGGTTTAGTCCAAGGTAATTATACCACAATTTAATTTCCTCTTGAATAATTTTTTTTAGTGTAGATTACATAAAAGAGTGCAGACATGTATAGTACTTATATGCAGGTGTTCAAAAAAGTTTACTATAGTAATCCAATACATCCCTGTTTGTCCTACAATAGGTTGATTTTTTAAAAAATCAGCATAAGGACATTATTTCTCCAAAAGTTATCACAGTTTCATTGTGCATCATAGAGATTTGGTGTGTTTCGTACTTCTGTATTTTTTGTCTCTTAACTGAAAAACTAATTTAGTGTTACTTGGGTTTATATAGTTTGGTGAAAATGCAGGTTAACTTTAAACAATCTGTATAATCATTTATTGCTCTTTGTTTTGTCTACATAAATACGAGCGTAATCAGTCTAATCCTGGAGTCTCTTTTTTTTGCAAGTTGTTAAATGTCTGTTGGTTAGTTCTGTCTAAGAATCAATCTTCTTTTTTTTGTGAAATGTAATCTGACTACTAATCTGATTGACAGGTGGAATCCTTCCAAGCAAGGCTACAAAAGCACAAAGAAGCCACCACCTAGGAAAGACTTTGCTCTCTTCATGAAGATACAGATGATTGGAAGTAGCAAAGGGTTTCAAAATGAAGATGGTAAAACAGAGAGGAGCAATGTAGAAGGTAATGTATTATACAGTTAAAAAGGTTGGTATTTATATTCTGATCACCCACATCCATGTCTCTGAAATTGTCATCTGACACATACACATTTACCCCAAACGTGAACTGAATTAAACAGATTAACCTCCTCCAAAAGTTCTCGAAAACTGGTCTTTCTTGTAAAATCATTTTGACTATATTAACATAGACTCCCTTTGAATAGACCCCCTTTGAATTCATCATATATCTGTACATGTTCTGAACATAGTTATCACTTCATCCTATTTTTTTTCTTTTATAGGTGCTGCTTTGGAGATTGCCTTGACAGGCACTGCTTTGCCAGTGCAGCTGGTACTTAGTCCACAGACCAAATTTGATTTTGAAGAATGTCCAGTGGGTGAACATGTTGATGCACTTTGCAATCTCAGAAATGAGAATATGATTCTTCCTGTAACGTACCAGTTCAAGAGAATTGCTCACTTCAGTGCCAGGCCTCCCAATGGTAAAATAGGGCCTGGTCAAGCACAGGATATCATATTTTCATTCACACCAAACCAAGTTGGTAAGTGTATTTGGCTTTTGACCAAACACTAAAGCCAATAGTTTTGATGCTTATCTTGGTATGCATGGATATTAATACAGTATTATTCATGTTGAAACCGCATGTTCAAAATTTAACAAATGTTTTCTGAAGCAATAATTTCACTACTTTTGTATTTTTAGGTACCTTTAAGCAAAAGATGCAGTTGGAAGTGATTGGTCAGGTGGCAGACAATAAGAATCCGTTTTTGGCACATTTGGAACCAATTCACTGTATGCCACTTTCCATGGTAGGAAGAAGTGATCCAGTTACTATCAAAAGGGAGCCAAAGTTTAACCCAGGTAATTAAGTAAATCCAGTAGCCAGTTTGTAATAGAAGTTTTCTACAAAAAAGGCAACAAAATTATTTTTCCCATTTATTATTTGTTATAATAATTAAATAAAATTAAATGTCATTATCTCTTAAGGAATCACTCCAAAGGTTGTTGGTGAAGTTGGCCAGTTTGTGGACACCACCTTCCAAACAGCAGAAAAACACCAACAGAGGGCAGCACTGCTCAACTCAAAAGGAACAAAGCTGCACAAAATCAAGACAAACAGAGCATTTGATGATGAAACCACCTATGTGGCTTTTCCAAATGACCGAGCTGGAAGCATCAGACCAACAGAAAGACACAAAGAATACAGGTAGGCTAAGGTAGCATTAATGTTAAATGAGTGTTTTTCGAGATGTATAAATACTGTTTGGCTGCTTTATTGTCAGGTTTTCTTATTTTTCTCTCAAGTGTTCTCTGCATGTTTTTAGCCCAAGGAAGCTGAAAACAAGTTACTGAGAATTTTTTTTTATTGTGAACATATCACAATACATGTAATGTTGCTCATGCCTAGTAGTTATAAATAACAACTGCACAAACTTGACAGAATTTCATAATTTATTTCTTATTCAGGACCATTTTCACTAAAATGGAGCGTTACAATTTTGTGGACCCAGACTATGCTTACACAGATGAGGAAACTAAGGCACTGGAATCACACAAGCAATATTACGTTGACTGTGTGGAGGAGATGAGAAAAAACAGAATCAACAGACTGAAAACAAAGTAAGTGATCAGTATGAGATAATGATTTTTCCACAGAATATTGATTGTGTTATCACTTACTGTTATGTGGACTGATTTAGAAATGAGTGAATGTATTATTCAAAAATTAACAAATTCTAACCAATATATTCTATTTCTTTAGGGAGTTTATTGAAACAAACAACAAGGAGGACATAGGGATTAAGATTGCAGCAGGAATAAAACCCAAGAAACTTACACAGGAGGAAATAAGACCAGATACTCCACGTAAGTGAAAAATGACATACATGTATTGTTAAAGACTCAGTAGGCAGTGATTACACTTGGTTAAAAGTGTGTCAACGCTATGTTTTACTGAAACTGCTTGTTTTTACTTCAATTTAAAGAAATCGTTTCTGAGTCATGCTATTTTCTGTTAATGTCTTACAGCTGCTGTACCTCCAAACACCAACTGGCAGGTGCTTAGCTCCAAACATCTTGCTCAGTCAGAAATGATGGTAACTCAGAAGAAAGTCAAGGAGGGACTGAATGCAGTGCCTATAACACCACAAGAGAAAGCAGACTGCTCCATGTGGCTCAGTCCACAACAATTGCATCAAGTTGTTATTGGTAAATTGGCATTCTTCGTATTGTTAAGATTTTTAAAAATGAATTTTTACATGTATTTCCATCCAATTTGATAAGAAACGTAACCGAATTTTGATTTTCTTTTTTCTTTCATCTGTCAATGTAAATATTTGTGTGTCTATTTATTATAATAATTTTTTTTTGGGGGGGGGGATGAATGTCGTGATATTTTTATTTATGTCACTATATTATGTAAACATTTGCTTATTGAAATTTGCTTTTTGAAATTTTTAGGTTTTGATTTAAGTGTTAAGATTGAAACATCAATGCTACTTTACAGGTCCACCAACAATTGACTTTGAAGAAGTCTGTCTTAGATCTAACAACACTAAAGACTTGAATATTGTGAACAATTTGGACCAATACATCCATGTTGTGGTGGAGGTATGTAGCATTTAGTCTTATTTTCCTCCATATGTGTTAAAAACAGTGTCAAAGTAGTAATGCATGACTGTTGTTTGGACTTTTCATATTTCCTTTTACGGGCTAATGTCTTTTAATTGATGAAAATGGTTGTATACATTTTCAGGCTTGCAAATTAAAAAATGGAGATGTAATGATTTTTGGGTTATGGCAGCCATTAAAGTTACATAATTCAGTAATATATTATATATATATCCTTTGTTCAGATTGACTGCCGTGAACTGCGTCAAACCAGTCCCTTGTCACAGGTGGTGCCTCCTATGTCTAGGGCTAAAGTGCCCATCATATTTGAATCAAACACAAGGGGGAAATTCCAAAGGTAAAAATTAGTATATTTTGAAATGCATAAAATTGTATTCTTTTTGATAATTACACTGCAACAACAAAAGGTTTGATTTTGAATTTTTATTTTTAATCTAAAAGGATTATAAATCAAGGGAAATATAAGTTTAAAGCTGAAAAACACAACTGTATTTCTTTTTCCCCAGATCTGTTGACTATACCATAAATGGATTTTACAAGAATCATGTGATAGTTCTGGCTGATGTTGTGCCTGTAGCTTTACATCTGTCTACAAATGAGCTTCTCCTCACACCATCCCAAGGGCTGCCTGCTGAAGCTGGTAAGTAGTGATTCAAGGCTTTCTATTCACAACATTTGCACAGCATTGGAAGATTGATTATTAGTATTCATTTCCTATCTGTATGTTGACAGATTTAACTTTACATCTTGTATACATGTTGCATTACATGTTGGGGAAGTGGTTAAAAAAGGCTTGTAGGAATGGATGATGAGGAGAACAGGACATCAGTATTTTCGTGAACTAATGAATAAGCTTTCATGATGTTTAGGTTTCCGTGGGATCATCACCCTGTCCAATGTCTTAAACTACCCAGCTGAGTTCACATGGCAGCCCATACTGGGGGAACTGGGCACGGCTTTCTCCATCCGTCCTGCTACAGGGACTGTGGATGCTTTTACAGATCTGGACTGTGAGGTGGTGTTCCATCCATCCTTCATGGCTCCTGATGATGGAAAGTTTGCTCTACAAGTACATGGAGGAAATGGGCTCCATCTCAAGTGTAAAGCAGAGGTAGACTTGATGGCATGCTAGCATGCTTCATTTCTTGAGAGATTCTGCTTCAACAAAGTTACTGGTGCTATAAGTTTTCCTTCTCTGATTTGCTTTTGATATATTTTATAGAAAATGACATGGATCAGTATGTTTGTTTTGCTCTAATAAAAATCAGAATTGTGAAATATAAATAATCTGTGAAAGGAAGGAAAAGTGGAGGAAATGATGTTTCAGTAACAGGAGCAGTATAAATCCACTTAAAAGTAATATATTTTGTATCCTTTCAGTTTGGTCCTACCAATGTGCAGTTCATAGAGAGAAGAGTGTTATTTGGCCAGGTCCCTCTGCATATGTCCACTGTGAGGAGAGCTTTACTACACAACAACAGCCAGCACCATGCCTACTTCCAGGTAGGTTTGTCTATCTCTGATAGAGTTTGCAAAATGTAAAGATGAATTTCACACGAACCGTTTTATAAACTAATAGTATTCATCTGTGTCATATTTACCAAACTTTTCAAGGTAGCGCACCATTATTTGACCTAGTTAAATCAACATTCCCATATCTTTCTGATGTGAAAATTTATTTTTCTTGTTTTAGGTCTTGGATCCCAACCCATTTGAAGGCATGATAATCAGCCCAGCTCATGGAGTTGTGCCTGTGGGAGGAAATGCTGAGTTGCTGATTGCCCTGATGCCACATGCTGTGATGAAGTTTGACACCAAGATTCAAGTGGCCATAAGGGGCTGGAAGACGCTGGAACTCAGGATGGGGGGAACAGTGGAGCCACCTTGCGTGGATATTGACATGGTTGGTTGATATCTTATTATTGTGACAGTCAAATAGTGTATGTTAAATTTGGAAGACATGTGAAACATTCAAATGAGCGCTTGTAATTTTAAAAATCTTTTAAAATTAAAATTCTTTATTCAAATTTTCAGAGTTCTTTCAATCTTGGAGGGGTATATGTGGGATCATCATCTGTGACAAATTTCAAAGTGAAAAACAAGGTGAGTTTTGACTAAGGTATTTTCTAATCACAGTTATGCACCTTCAGAAATGTTGTTTTTTGTATTTTTGAGCCCAGAAGGTTGATGAAAAGACAGAAAGCTAGAAATTCTACTAATAGTGAAAATAAAAAGTTTGTATAACCCAAAGCATATTACAATTTTGCAGACACACACAGAGGCCAAGGTTGAATTTGATTTGTCAAGATACACTGACTTCAAGCTCAGGTTTCCTAACAATCAAACACCAGGTAGGACAATATTTTCTGTAACAGTTGCAAAAATATAATCTGTTCATAAAATGGAATTATGATAATAGTAAGTAAAAAAACAAATTATTATATTTGTTTTTAACTGTATCATGCTATCATTCTGATAGATACATCAAAACTTATGGATCAAATAGGAATGCCAAATTTACTTACTATTACAAATGGTGTTATTTGATAAATGTTTAATGATAGCTACCATTTGATATGGAAAATTAAATCTTATGATTTTCTCGTTGTCTAACAGAGGACCTGACCTTTGAACTCCTGAACCCTGGCATGCACACTGTGACCCTGGCTGGACAGGAGGAAGTGGAAGCTGAACTTATCTTTACACCCACAGAGGTAAGCACAGCCTGAATTACTATATTGTCTTCCATATGTTGGATACACAGTGCTTGGAGACAGCTATATGCACATTTTCTTGATTTTTGAAATTTTCAAGAAGTATATAAACTGTTTTTGAAATATAAATGTGTGTAGCAAACTATAAACCAACAAAGAGCTATTTCTTGCTACTGAACCTGTTTTATTATATTAATAACTCTTGTTATGTTTCTCAGGTGGCTTCATATGATTTCATCATCCCAGTGGTTGTGAATGCTACAGGGGCACCTTCCCCTGCACCGACACCATTCCCTCCAACCCCAGCACCATCTGCCAAGAATACCATAGAACACATCATCAACCCCAAACCAATTCATGTCACCATAGCAACACCAAGGCGTAAAGTGGTCGCTACAGCGCTGAGGCAGCCATTTCAGATATCTCACAGTAAACTGGAGTTTACTTTCCCAAATGGGTTCACTGACCAGGCATTGGGCTCTGGATTAGGACAGAACAAGGTCAGTTTATGGTAACCAAGGGGCACATTCAGAAATATAGTGGGTGGCTGTTTTTAACATTAGGGATAAAACATGGAGTAATAGTATTCATTTCTTCATTGTGTCATGCAAAATATGTGTTATTATATCATATTTCTCTTCTCTCTTTTAGGGCACTCTGTTCATAAACAACAGTGATAAAACTCTTAAATGGACAGTTGATGTTTCCTGCGATACAAACCGAATACTTGATAGAGGTATATTCAAGTTCCTGCACAGCAGTGGCATGCCATACCTCAACTACCAGGACAACAATCTCATTGAAGGAACTCTGGAACCAGGACAGACACAGTCACTGGGAGTGCTCTTCTGCCCAAGTAAGGGATTGGATTGCTAAACCCTCAATAATGCTGTAAAAAAAGAAGAAGAATAGATTATGGTAAAAGTAATGTGATATCAATTATTCACTTCTTTCTTTTTATGATCCAATTAGTCTTGGATCTGTCAAAGACACCTGTAAGCAAGAAAAAACTGTTTGTTTTTAAACATAAAATAGACCTTAATGTGCTTTTTCTTCTTTTTGCTCTTCTTCAGATAAAGCAGGAAAGTATGAAATCCAAGTCCCAATCATTATAAATGATGAGGAGAAACCATATAGTTTTCTGGAGTTGTCAGGAGAGCTCAAGTCTCCCAGAGTGTGGTTTGACCCCTTGGCCCTGGTACTGACCCCTGTACCACTGACCACTGATGTGTCAGCTGAATTTAAAATCTTTGCCACTGATTACAACAGGTGAGTAGATTTACTGTGAATTAAGAATTTTTTTTTGCATTTATGCAACAGGTGTTATCTGTTGATATACTTGGTTGCATGTATTAACATGACTGATAAGCTTATTTATTATACAATCACATGTATGAGTTATGCCAGATTGGATAGATTGTCCTAAACCGGTAGCATCTGTGTACTTTTGTAATATGCAGTTATGCATTGTTATTACCCTGTCAGTGGAATTCAAAATTGTAATCAAATCTTCTTGTAGAAAAACAGTCCTGGATGTGGAACTACCTGAGGTTGAGTGTGAAGATGGCAGCAGGATTTCTCCTCTCACTGTGATATTTAAAGATGGACAAGGTAATTTTTCCTGAAGTAAAACTGCTTAGGATATTGCATTGTAAGTTAATACTGCCTTCTTTTCATTTTATTGATGATGGATAAGAATAATCACAGTAATAAAGTTAAACAGTGAATCAATCATGCTTTGAAAATCTTGTTACAAAAAAGGCACAAACAATAGAGTTTTATTGTATTTGTTTATCATAGAACTCCTACCAGTGAGCACAGCAGAGAAAGCAGATGCAGAACCATTTGAGTTGAACTGTAAAGTGGTCTTCTCAAGTCCAAAGCCCATTTCATTTACTGCAGACCTAAAGTTTGTTGACTCTGAAGGAAATAGGTTAGTCCCGTAATCAGCATTCATAAATGACTGGCATGAAGTAAGGTGCATGTCTGCCACTTTTATTGGTTGTTGTATACTAGTAATTACTATGTGAACTAGCTGTATATTTTCATGTTACATCATCAGTGGCTAATATATATCAGAGGTGGATCCAGAGATATTTTCTGACACTCTTCCATATTATCTTTGCTGATCCATCCTCCATTTTTGACCACCTTCTGATCATACAGAAAAAAGGCCATCATTTTAGACCATAAGTTGTTTCATTTTTGTAGACTTCTACGTATATACCCAAGCCCAAAATAGACAAAGTTTTTATGCTATGGCCAACCATTTTTAAAGTGGCCTCTTCATTATTTTGGCTCTTTCAGTACACTTCTTATGCGCATTTGTTTCAGCTTTGGCCTTCCAGTGACAGCTACAGCAGACAACAGTCTGTTTACAGCTTACCCCTTCCTAGCATCTCACAGGTCTGACCACCTGATTGTCTGTGAACAGGTAAGAGATACACTGTGAGAAAATTGAGAAATTTTTTTGAGAAAATTGTTAGTAATACTAGCTTTTTTTTTCAATGTTTTGTTGTTGATATACTAGGATTTTTAACTTTTGCACAGGGCTTTTTTATTTTTGAGCACCACAATGTCATCTTGATAAGGTGTTGTGCAACTAATTACTCAGTGTTGTTATATTTTTAATAACTTGTTTATCGGTGACCACTTAGTACTGCTATGTGTTAATTGTAAATTTGCATTTTAAATGGTGTTTACATTTTGGTGTTAAAAGATTACAGGGCATAAATTGCATGCAGAAAATGGACATCTCATTGCTTAAAATGTATTGCTTCTATAATATTATCTTAGAGAAATGATAGGAAAGTCATTTTATAGTTTGTCAAAAGCATAATAATTTTTCCAGTGTGCAGTGTGATTGAAATATGAAACACCGCTGCTCTGCGTGTGCAAGTAATGCCATGTAATCTCACAGTCCTTACATTTTATATTCATACTAAACTGCACATAAAACTGGTTGATGTATAATGTAGCATTAACAAACCACAAGCTTTAATTAATGTGATGTTTTAGGGAAGGCATATGCTTCTGCCACGTAAACGTTTGATGAAGGTAGGTGGAGTGGGATTCCAGTTAGCCATGCCACAATTGGTGCATATTATTTTACTAATTTTACATATTTATTTTATGATATTAACCTTTATGTGTACTCTTTCAGCTTTTGGTTTCTTTACCTAAATTGTTTTCTTTTTGTGTCTTGTTTTATTTCTCTTGAATTTAATCTTTCAGGCTTTTGAGTAAACCTCATCATATCTATTCTTTTTTATCTCAATATTAGGACTGACTTATTTTCTACTGAACTATTTGTAAGGGGCAGGATCATTTGATACCTGCTTTTTATTTACACCTTTCATTAAAATTTGCAGCTCTAAGATCTGACTGTCTCTTGTGTGTTTGAGAACCTGCTATTTTTGGCTACATAGTAAAACCATCTAATTAAAAATTCAACTGATAAATTGTCTTGTTTGGTATATAGCACTATGGTCCATGATTTAAACTGCTGTGCTTAAGAAAAGATGTCTTAATATACTTGATCATTAAATGATTGTATAATTCTAAAACATTTATCTGTATATTACTTTTATTTCACTGTTATTGAATCATTGATCTTCTTAACTAAATATGTTTATTCTATTGTTCCAGGGCACTATACTTAAAGGTCAGAAAACTGAGTCTAAGGAGAGCTTGAATGTAGGAGAGGCAGTGTTTGTGCCAGTCAGCACTCCCCACACTGCCAGCAGACCCAGCACTAGTGCCACTAGCTCCAACTTTGAGGTGTCCTCTTCCAGTTATGAGGATTCTACACAGTCACTAACAGGTTAATACACAAAATATTTCCAACTAAGCCTATGTCTTAATCTCAGATGTGACAAAATATACAAGTGTTGCTGAGATCTTTAGAGGTCAGTTGTTTCGGTTGTCTTGCAAATGTTTTATCTTTTAATTTTTGCAGAAACCAACGAAGGTGCCAGTTCCCCAAGAGAGGGCGCTATGGTCAAGTTGGCATCAGACTCCAGTCGCCATAGCAAAGGACGTGGCATTGCTTCCAGGTCTCTAGGATCAGCCATGTTCCCTGATGAAGATACTGAGGAAGGATTATTTTACTCTGAAGTATTGTTAGCTGTACAGAGATGGTTCTCATCACAGGGATGGCCTGGGGGACCATATCCTATTGTCATTCCATACTCTTTGAGAGCGTGAGTTTCTTTATCAGGATATTTTTAAAAGGAAGTGTACTAATTGCATGTGGTTGATGAATATAACTGAAATTCCTTTCTTATTTATGTTTCCTAGTCAATAAAGCCATTATAAACCAATTTGTATTATATTGCAGGCCCGTAGCCAGCAATTTCAAAAGGGGGGTTCTTTTTCTGAAAAAGTGGACCTTTTCCCACAAAAACTTCCTGTACCTAGATCAAATTTTACCCAGAGTGGACCTTTTCCCAGCAAAAGGGGCAGTTCTTTCGAACCCCCCGAAACCCCCCCCCCCCCCGGCTACGGGCCTGTATTAGGATACAGTTAGTTGGGACTTTTTTTTCTTCAGTCATGGTTAAGAGCTGCATAGCTGCATATTTTATGCAGTTCAATAATGAAATATGCAATTGATTATAAACATGTGTAAATTACTTTGTTTCCAGTGGTGTTGCCAAGAACCAGAAAGACACTGGTGGTAACAGGAAAGGTGCTGGTAGTTGGGATGCACAGAACCTGAGGAAGGAAATCAAGACAATCTATGACATGATAGGACACCTGGCTGGGCGTCCTGTCCCTGGTATTCCCATCAATGCCCCTCTGCCCTCTGACCCCACAGAGAGAGCACTGCAAGTACACTGGCAGCATTCAACACTCCTCACATTCCTCAAGTAAGCTTTACATGTATGGTTCTGGTAGAGCACTTTTTATGGCTTGTTGATTCATTGTTTAGATGTTTTTGCTTATTTCTATTTTGTATTTCAAGAGAGTAGCTTTCTTATAGACTAATTTCCAACTTTAGACGTTGCATTTCAAATTATTGAGTTTGCTATGTTTTCATTACCAAATCTTAACAAAAGGATGTAACATTGGTAGTTATACATCAATGAAAAGCAAATTTTATGGAAGAAGGTAGTTTTTACAACTTAATTTTAAATGTGTGGTTTCCTTGCAGGAGCCAGGGCGCTAGTGTAGCCTCAATCAAGCCTGAGTACCTGATGACCCCTGGGGACTACAAGCACTGGATCCAAGTACAGAAACAGATGAAAGCTCAGGAGATGTCTGGACAGGATGAAGACCAGATAAATTCAGGTCCCAGGACAGAAAATGAAGAAATGCTGGAGGACCAGCTGTTTGAAGCTGTGTCCAAGAGAGCTTGGACTGATTTGATGCTGCAACTGCTCAAGGTACGTTATAAATGCCTTCTTCAAATAGGTGCATCATATACATCCTATGTGCAGACAGACATGATGCAGACTGCTAAATGATGACAGAAAAATTTTTAGCAATAATTTTTTAACATTTATCAAGGTTTGAAAATCACTTAGAAGAATTAAAGTTTCCAAAACAGTGTCCTGTTTATATATTTCAGACCCTTGTACTGTCACGGATCACCCCACGTCAGTTCCGCACCATGCAGGCACCAGACAAGCACCATGCCTTGCCGACTGTGAACCCAGACCCTCTATCCAGCAATGTGTACTGTGTGGGAGAGAGGATTGTACTGGCATGGTTGAACCACTGCTATGAGCAGTATAGGCACCATATCTGGGATGGTTCACCAAAAGGTGGGTGTGATCAGGAATTATGCAGAAGGATAGATTAAAAATGTAATTATGTGTCAATATACTATTGTGTGTGTTTGCAGACTGACAGACGGATATTTCCATTGATTATAGTGATAGTGTAGGTACTCGTTGTTAGATGTGAAGATTAGACATTTTTTAAAATATCTTTATGAATGTCTTTCTCTACAGGTGGAGTTCCACCATCTAGATGGATTGTCAACTTTGACTTTGACTTGCTAGATGGCCTTGTCCTTGGAGCATGTCTGGGAGCATATGTACCCTTTTTGGTAAGATACTATAGATATTATATCAGCAATATTCTGTCAGTGGAGATACTTTTTAATAACAATTTTTTAGAGATTTAACTGATGAAAGTTTGGTTTATCTTAATAAATTACCCTAGTCAGAACATTTATAATGAATGAGATCTTCAAGCCAAATATTACATGAATAAGAAAGTGATACATTTACAATTATAAAATCCAAGAAAAACAAATTACTTTTAGGAGACTGCATATTATTTATGGTTTACATATATATTTAGATCAAGACCCACCTGCAAGGGATGTACAGCTGTCCTACTACAGCAGAACAGTGTCTACACAATGCTCTCAAAGTGGTCAATGCCATCAAGTACATTGGACTGGACTATGACATACAAGTAAGAGGTTTTATTTCATGATACAGTATGGGTAATCATATTGCCTCACTTACTGACTTTATAAGATAAATGTTAATTTTTTTTCAAGAATTCAAGATGGTCAAGGAGATCTACTCAAATTGCCCTCAAAATTGTTTTTATGAAAATAATGCACATTGTGCTGACATATATTCTTTTTTTGTCAATTAAAATGAATTTTGCATACATTAGATTTTTATTTAATTTCATTTTAGGCCATTGATATCACAGATCCCAATCCTATCAATTTGTTGCTGCTGTGTATACATTTGTACCAGAAGCTGCCTCACTATCTGCCAAAGAGCAGCATTGAATTCACTGGAAGTCTGCACTCCACAGTCATGAGACAGGTAGGTGGGCAAACTTGCAAAATCAACCTACCTGTACACATTTTTTTCAGTGGTAAATACCATTTAGATCATTCCATTCTATTTGGATCATTCACTTAAAATCTTTTTATGTTTGAAATTGAAAATCATTTGTTACAAGCAAATCACTCATGTCACATTGTCAGTCAGTTATTTGCCCCCTTTCATACAGATCCGGTTGAGCAACCCCAGTGCCAAGCCTCTGACATACCAGTGCTTAATGGCTGGGAGGGATGCCAGAGACTTCAACATTCCCAAGGGAGATGTGGTCACCATTCCACCCAAGAGTAACCTAAGCTTGGCCATCAACTTCACCAGCCGCTTTTTAAGACCCACAGAAGCTATGTTGGTACTGGTGGGGAGGAGAGCAGGGTCATCTGTTGGTTCCACACTGGTCTTCAACTTACAGACACAGGTCAACAATATTTCACCAAAGGTAAGATTTCAACTTATCTGGTTCTTTTAGCTGTATAATTTACAGTTTTTTTGGGGGGGTCATAGTATGTAAAATAGGCTCTTAGTTAATTATTATAATGCAAACCTTGCCCCTTTTCTTAATCAAAAATATATAGTGACCTGTTAAACACAGGCTCTGTCTGCCTGGAAATGTAACTTTGTGTGTTTTTTATATGAAAAAAAAAAATTCTCTTAATTCTCTTAATGATGCATGATGCTCTTTTGTTGAGACTTTAGCCCATTTTCATTTCAGTCGACTTTGAAGTGCTCTTCCAACTGCTACGAGCTACATAAGATCACCTTAAAAGTCACCAACCCATTTAATGAAGCAGGAGAATTCAGAGTTGTCCTAGTTGAAGCTAAGGGAGACATCCTAGGCCAGGACAAACACAGGGAGCTGATGAAACCAAAAAAGAAGAAGGTCAAGAAAATCAAGTCCAGGACAGATCATGGGCAGACTCGTCCAGAGACTCCGCCTACGCCAGAAGAAGAGGAGCCAGAGCCAGTACCTGTGAAAGAAGAGACAAAGGAAAATGGTATGACCAGAGTAGTGATCTTGTTTTGAGATTATTNTATAATGCAAACCTTGCCCCTTTTCTTAATCAAAAATATATAGTGACTATCAGTTAAACACAGGCTCTGTCTGCCTGGAAATGTAACTTTGTGTGTTTTTTATATGAAAAAAAAAAATTCTCTTAATTCTCTTAATGATGCATGATGCTCTTTTGTTGAGACTTTAGCCCATTTTCATTTCAGTCGACTTTGAAGTGCTCTTCCAACTGCTACGAGCTACATAAGATCACCTTAAAAGTCACCAACCCATTTAATGAAGCAGGAGAATTCAGAGTGGTCCTAGTTGAAGCTAAGGGAGACATCCTAGGCCAGGACAAACACAGGGAGCTGATGAAACCAAAAAAGAAGAAGGTCAAGAAAATCAAGTCCAGGACAGATCATGGGCAGACTCGTCCAGAGACTCCGCCTACTCCAGAAGAAGAGGAGCCAGAGCCAGTACCTGTGAAAGAAGAGACAAAGGAAAATGGTATGACCCGAGTAGTGATCTTGTTTTGAGATTATTTAAATTGTACTATTATATATGTTCTGAACTGCATTGTTCTGAACTGCACTTATGCCAAAATGGAAAGAGAGCCCACAAGACAGTGTTTTAGAAAATAGTTAATTATTATAAAAAGATAATTATATATTTAAGAAATATGATGTTGACAATATTTTTATCATTATTGTAAAAGTAGGATTTCATAAGTTGATTCAGAAATTAATACAGGTCATGTTAACATTCACTTTTCAATTATACAGTGGATCCAGTCACTATGATGAGTGCCTACTACTCTCCATATCCCACTATCTTCTTGGGTTCTAAAAGCACAGGAGAAGTGGAGCTGCATTTCCTCCCCTTCCACACTGGAGTACGGCAGTGCTCTGTCATCTTTATCAATGAGAACATTGGAGAGTTTTTATACTCTGTTGAGGCTGAGGCAGAGCTACCATTACCTTCTTCATTGCCATTCAAGCCATCTCTTCACAGTGTGCGCATAAGTAGTGCAGCTGCAGCAGGTAAAAAAAACACTTATTTCCTGTTAATTAATGAGGCATATTCCACTACATTCAAATCATTCCTGTTTGCAATACTTTAATACCTCCTGAATAGGAAAAAATGTTCCATTAAACAACATTTCTACTTGACATGTTTATCCACATCATGATCATCATTTTGTTGTACATGTTAAAATTGCCACTCAAAATCAAATATATCTTATGCTCAGGCCGAGGACGTGGTATGTTTGGTGGTGATGATGATGTGATCTACTGGAAGTGTGAAGCCAACCAATCTCTCACTGAAACAATCTCTGTACCAGTCACTAATGCTGCTAGAGAAAAGGCACTGGTCATTGCTGGACAACAGGTAAGTTACTGCAACATTAGATACATCAGGATTTAATGCCAGGTGCATTTTAATGGCTTTCAAAAAAGGATTAAGAGGAACAATAGGCATAAGTATGTAAAATCTTGAAAACCAGATTTAAAGATTAGTCTAAGACTGGAGTATTGCTAAAATATTAATCTAAAAGTGGGGATTAAAATAACTAGGTTGTTTTTTCCACAGGTTTTGTTATCATGAATATTATCATCAGTCAAATGTTCAAAAGGGAAAAATTACATATTTTTAGCACATGTCGGAGCTTGAGATTCAGAGAAGAAAGACTACTGGTACACTGGCCACTGGTACAGTGACAGCACGGGCATTTGACCTTCTGTCCACCTCTGGGGTACCTGCTGTCAGACACCCTCCGGTAAGATAATATATTCTTTGAAAATATCATTCTTTAAATCTGTGCCCGTATTTCAGTAGCCTTATTACTAGAGTACAAGTCATTGTCAGATTTTGCTGACTATAATTGTTTAAAATTTTTTAGCATCTTTTGAGCACCTACCTACTTAGCCTTTGTCTTCATAAACTGCCAGTTCTGTTGAACAAACACATATTTGATCAACATGGAATTTTCTTTCATTGAATCGTCATTTATTGTCAAATGAATTTTCCAGCCACAAAGTCCTGAAGGTACAGTATTCACAGTGGAGATAGACTCCCCTTACTTTGCTGCTCCAGCCACACTAACCCTGCCAAACCCATTGTATCGTAAAGCAAGGACAGCCATGGATGACCCTACCAAGGCACCTCGCAACACAGGCAGGTCACCAGCAGGTTTACATGGAAAGACTGGTAAGGATAGATAATGAAGTTGTACAATAATATCTGTGCTTTTAATTTAGGCTTCTATCTGAATGCTGTTACTTGTGCTTTATTGAAGATGAAAATATATTAAGATTCAAACTAATTGCATTTTAGATGATCTTTAAATAGTAGATTTTATGTGAATAAATCATATTTGAAATATCTGAAAAAAACTTTTGGTTGAACTTAATAGCCTTGGAACATCAATATATTTTCAATATTGTTCTTTTTCAAATTTTTGTCTCCTGCTTTCCTTTTCCAATAGGGGTTGTCCTGGATGAAGGCAGCGTGGAGCTCCCTATTACCTTTGCTCCCTCCTCCCCTGGTCACTACCCATGCCGTGTGGTCCTCAAGTCTCAGGATGATATCAGAGTGTATAGAATAGAATGCACAGTGAACCCAGAGGGCAGCAATGCAGAGCTAGAGTTCACAGCACCAGTGCACCAGTCCATTATGCAGGACATTCCTATCGTAAGTTTGCAGAAAGTGATATTTACTTTTGACCTATACTTATACAAACACAACAATGTATGTACCTATACTAAACAACTATGTATGTGGTTTTCCGGGCTTTTTAACACTTTGTCAGAAATGTTCCAAGTATCATTTATTCAATAAATGATTTTTACATAGAAATCAGAATCAATACACTTTAAATTTCTTGATCATAGTTAATGTTTCTGCAGTATATTGATAATATTTAGATGTGATTTACAGAACTATTTTATTTTCCAGATCAACCAGACCCATCATGACTGGCCCCTAGAGGCCAATATAGATGGGATGGGGTTCTGTGGGCCACCCACACTGCTGGCCAAGGCCTGCCAGACCTCATATTACCCACTCATGTTCAGACCACAATATGAATCAGAGGTGGAGGTATGTATGTGTGGTCAGTTATGATGTATTAGTATCTGTGCTACTCATTTCAATTACCCTTTAGATTCTGAACAAAGTTAATAAATTAATCCACACTGATATTTATTAAATATAGAAGAATGTTTTTTTCTTGGATGTACATAAAGCAAAAATATCAGTTTTTTTTGTAGAAACATTGATTAGTGCAGTTCATCTGTATGACAGAAGTCACTGACAATTGGGTATTGCTGTTTCTCAGGGTCTGCTGATATTGAAGAACAAGTCAGATGGCACAGAGCATTCATTCCACCTCAGGGGCCATGCTAAGAAACCTCTGCCACTGGACCATGTGGTCATCCAGGGAGAGGTGAAGCAGACGTAAGTTTAACTTTGGTAATATAATGTGTCTTTGAGATTGTTTTTAGCTCTTTTCATGTAGTAGCAATAATTTTTTCTGCGTGTTCAACTGCTAGTTTCCGTTGATCAAGTTGATATTATTTTTCAGAACTGAAAAAACAGTCCAAGTTCCCAATGTTACTCGAAAGAAGCTCACATACAGGGTAAGTGTCCCTTGGCAATGCCCAATTTTTTTCAGTAACATTTGAGTATGGTTCGTAGTTTATGAATTCATCCACACTGATATTCATCCAATCATGTAAGTTTGTTTTAAAGAATTTTTTACCAACTATGTTCTAACAGGGATTTTGTTGAGAAACACTCTTCAGGTTTTCAAGTTGTCATTGTTTTCATTACAGGTTCAAACTGACCTTCCATTTGTAAGTGGTGGTCAAGCCTTGACCATCTTGCCTGGCCAGACTGGTAACTACAATATCAGTGTATGTCCACTCAAGAGAGGGAGATTCAAGGGTGTCCTGGCTTTTGTAGCTGGAAGAAATCCAATCACGTAAGTTAAAATGCATATCATAGCTTTACAATGTTACTATTTTAAAATGCATAAACACATATTGCAGTTCATTGATAATTAACTTTCACATTCTTGTGAATATATAGATACAGAGGTATAATAAACATGGCATTTTATTATGTACAGACACAGATATGTCTGTACATATAGCCGTCATCTGCGTCTGTCGTTGCCGTCGCTGTCGCCGTTGGCGTGCACTTTAACCGTAAACACGATAAGTGGAAAACAGTTTTACCTTTTGGTTTGAAACTTACAGAACTGATGAATATTTATAATATGCAGGTCAAGTTCGAAAATCAGCATGATCGGGTCATTTTTAGGGAAGTTATGCTTTTTTTTCGCTTTTTTCAGCATATATGCAACACCGTAAACACGATAAGTGGAAAACCGTTTTACCTTTTGGTTTGAAAGTTACAGAACTGATGAATATTCATAATACGCCGGTCAAGTTCGAAAATCAGCATGATCGGGCCATCATTTTAGAAGTTATGCTTTTTTTTCACATTTCCTCAGATTCAATTCTTAGGCATGTTAATAGTCTCATTATTGAACTAATAAGATACATAAAAGTGTTTGTTTGACATTTCCTGCATCTTTACAACATTGTCAGTTGATTATGTAAAAATGATGGTAAATTTGTTATCGTGTATTGTGTAATGAAGTGTCAAAAATGGAAATAAACACATATCATTGCAGTTTGTCAGATTCAATCATCCACTATGTTCAGAATCTCAGAATGGAGGAAATTGGACATTTAACACTGTTCTATTGATAATTTTCCCATCTCATCAATTTTCTTAGTTGGTCATATAAACATGGCAGTTAACAGTTAATGTTAAAAA